ACACACACACACACACACACACCCTTGACACAAATCCTTCCCTTTTCTGATGGTGCCTGAGACAGGTAATTCTTCTCTAGCCGGGGCCATTAAGGATTGGGTTATCCTCAGCTACAGACACTTTTCCCTGAAAGATTCAATCATCACCCTGCTCTCACACAGGAAAAGGTGTGTGTTTGGCACAGCTGGGAGCCACATACACACAAGGAGGGCACATCTGTGTGGCAGACTGACTGATCTCTCCATCTGGGACTTTATTATGGAGGCTACAATAACATGTTCACGTTTACTGCCTCCCTGCCACACTCTGTCCCATCCACATGGAGAAACTACTGCTTTTGATGGCAATAACATGGATACAAACTACAGGTGTTTTTTTTTTATCTTTCCCTTCCAAACCTCTCCCTTGAGTTCTGCTGCTGTGCCTGACAATGCCGTTTCTGCCCTTTGTCTGTAAAAGCCAGCACACAGATCCAACATTTAATGGGTGGGAGAAGCTCTCCCCTTCTCGAGACATTGTGACTGAAATCTAATTACACATCACAGCACAGTCCTGAGCTTAATTAAAAAGCATTTTACTCCAGTTTGACACAATCTCCTGTCAGCTTCCTAACCGGCTGTTGGTCCTTCTGCCTGCTTTTCAGCCCATGGGGTTTGGAGAACCCCGGGAAATTTGCCCCCTGGATCAAACCTGGAAATCTTTGAGGTTGTCTTCCTTCTCTGAGGCTAAGAGGATAACGGCATATGGGGTAAAACGCTTGCAGGGAGGAGTCAAAAAGTCTCAGGGGCATTTAGAGCACTTTTTTTAAAGCCCTACTAGGGTTTTGTCTCAATAGGAAACCTACTCATAGGAAGATGGTTAGAATACCGGCTCCCTTCTGCATACAGATTTTCCTTGTGGCTACGGATCCAAGACAAGGTGTAACATGGTATGGGAAAGCTTTATCCACAGTAGCTATGTGGCTCCCAGTATACTCTCAAGAACTGACGCTGCTAAACAGGAGTCAAAAGACGTATATCATGTGAAAACAGCAGAGCTGGAAGGACCCCTGGGGGGGTGTCATCAAGTCCATCCCCTGTCAAGGAGGCCCCCGTGGGGAACTCGAGCTCCCAAGGTCTGGGTTTGCAGACAGTTGCCTTAAACCACCAGGCTATCCCATAATTTCCACCGAGCTATCCAGAGGTCCTGGTCTACGGCAGACCCAAGGGCAGCACCTGCTTCTATGCAAAACAGGCACTTTTCATAGACCCCAAAATCACTCCTTGATGATGGAATCACCCAGTTTCTTGCTCACCCAATGCCAGGACCCTGTTTAGCAAGGCTTCGCCAGAGGAGGAAGTGGAAGGCAGTTGCCAATTAGGGCAGCCGAGGGAACCCCCCCCCCCGAGGGGACTTGTAATTACCCACCCTGGACTCGGGCCAGGGCTCTGTAGGCAAATCACGCTACCTCCTTGTGAAATGCGCCGTGCAGTTTTTAATGAGCTCATACGAGCAGCCATTCCGCTCTTCTCTCCCCTCGCACGGGTTACTCCACTGGCACTGTCTCTCCTTTCCCCATAGATCCTCACCAAGGGGCTGGTCCAGTTGCGAGGGAAGGGGCAAGGCGTCTCGCCGGGTCTCTCCACTCATTGTTGTCTTTTTCTCTCTTTTTTTTCTTTTCCCCCACCGTATGCATCTCCTTGAACCAGAAAACGCCCTGCCCTGCCCCTTATCTCCCTGCAAGGGGGATCTACGTGGGCTGGCAGGTTGAATGCCTTCAGAGCCGGAGGGGTGGATTCAGAGCCTGTCCATAAAAAAGGCAGCTGTGCACCCAACACGTCGCTTGAGAGCAGCCACCGCCACTAGAACCTCTTCTCTGTTTTTTTAAATCTACTTTAGTCCTTGGAGGGGATGAACAGACACCCATGTTGCTGCTCCTCCTCTAAAAGTCAGTGGCCTTCCGGCCCTCCCTCCCCCACATCTGCTTTTGTTTTAGTCTCATTCACTAACAAGCAAGAAGGCAAATAATTTGTTTCCTGATAATGAGGCTTGTCCTGGGGGGGTGGGGTGTTGGACCTCGAGGATCCCAAACACCATCTCACTCTTTCGAAATAGTTTATGCCCGTATTCAGGTCTCACAAAGGTACATGGATGGGCCTGACCTCAGCGTGCAGGCATCCATGTGCAACCTTCACTCCCTGGACACGTCCACCGCAGCCCTGATCACAGCTGACCCATAGAACTGGGCTACTCCATTCATAGCCACAGGCTGTTAAACTTGCCAGAGCAAGGAGGAACATGTTCTGCTGTCCAAACTAGCCAGGCAGCCACACACGGAGCCTGAGGGAGCCTAAAAACAAGCCGTAATTGCAGTCGAACGCCCAGTCCAAAAAGCTCTCTTTTGCCAGGCTCCCCTTCACTGGCAAGGTCCTTGAAGTCCACCCAGCGCCAACCGCAGCACCTCCCTCCTCGTCCCCACGTTTCAGTACTCCCAGACAAAACGCCTGGGCTGGAGGGAGCCTTTGTTTATGGGAGAAGGCTTTTCGGAAATTAATTCATTGCAGAACTTTTGTGAATGTGGGAATCGAGATAAATTGGGGGGGGGGAGGTAGGGGGAGTTGAGGATGGAAGGATCACGAAAGGCCAGGGGAAGCTGAGGGCAACAGGAGCAAAAACAGAAGAAGCGAAACCTTAGCTGCTCTTGCTCCCAGAAAGCAAGCTTTATTTTATTTTATTTTTTCTTTTCCCATCTGCAACCATCTCGGGGACTTAAATACCAGCTTTTCCCTACCCAGCTGGGCATGAAAGGTTCCTCAACAGGGTGCCAGGTTTTCTCCAGGACACCATCAAAGGTTCTTTCCCCTCCTCCTCGTGTCTCCCACAGAGAGAAAGAAGACACTTTTAAGTGTTGATCTCTGATGGTGCCCTAGGAATCCTGCACCAGAAAAGGAAAAGGCAGGTAACAGGTGCTCAGATTTTGCAGGGAGGGAGCAAGGAAGGTTCTTCTGATTATACACTTGTGAGGATTTCAGAGGAAGCCGGAAAGCCACGAGACCCACAGACGTAGCAAAAGGGAGGGCTTTTCAGAGAAAACTTTGAATGTGGGGACCTATTTTGAGAAGGCTTCCACTTCTCTCCTTTTATGTCTTTGTGCAACTCTTAATGGAGGAGTTCTTGAAAACTGCTGAATCTGAAGGCTTGTGGCCACGAAATCCTCCCCTTTGAAAACCACAGGAACACAATAAATGTTAACATATTGTGTTTAGATGGATTATAAAGTATCGCTAGAAAGACTTGGGCGGAGAAGTCACGGAAGCCTAGGCGCGGAACCTCTGCGGGGCAAAGGCAAAAGGGCTTAAGTGGTATGGGACAGAGCAAGCAAGTAACACACACATTCCCTCCCCCCCACCCAACATCCCAGATAGGAAGATTCACATCAGGGATCTGTTTCTTCCTGAGCCTGAAACCAACAGCGCCCCTTCTCAAAGCCACTTCTGCCGGGTGAGAAAACACCAAGCAAAGATTCCAAAGAAGCAAAACGGTGCAAGAGGAGGGGGGGGGGTTCTCCGTTACCTGGAGGAGTGGGACTCCGAAGGCACACTTTGCTGCCCCTCGTACTGTTGCACCAGCGCCCGGACGCTCCAGTACGGATGCTCAATCTCTTCATCCAGGCTGCTGTTCCTGGAGATAAAGTTGAAGAAAGGGGGTGGGAAGGGAAAGCCAAGATAAGTCTGCTCTTGATTCAAGACTGACTCTTCAGGAGGCAGATCCCAAGGGACTTGAATGAGCCTTGCCGCCTCACTCTGGTTTTCAAAGTCACGCAAGCAGAATTTTGCACAGAGCGATGACTCTGGAAAGGGGAACCAGGTTCTCGACAGCTCCTGGCTTCCCCGGTTCTGTCGTCTGAACTTCAGCTGCACAAGAAAGCAGCAGGCTAAAAGAAGGTTGTAGGAAAGGGACAGGAGCCCCACCTGATCCAACGTGCAACAATTAATTGCATGCATGGAAAGAAGTAGCCCTTTCCACTCTTCCCATCAGCCTGCACTTCCAATATCTCAAACACCCACTGTAGAGGCCAAAATCTCTGGGCGAATACTCCCAAGGCATCTTAAGCAGATGTGCAAAGTTGTGTGCTGAAGAAGTAAAAAAAAACACACCCTAATTTCCCCCCACAAACTCTTGCCCCCCAAAACAAGGCTGCTAAGCAATCCAGCCTCAAAGATAACCATCGGACAAAAATGGCAAGACAAATAGAGCCCATCCATGCCAACATCTCATTGTTTCTCGTACCTCTGTTGGTGTCGGAACCCATCGCGTCCCAAACGCAAGACGTCCTGGCGATTGTCTGCCAGCGCCGCCAGCGCAGCTTGCGCGATGGTGGTGGGGGCAGAATGAGGCTGGTGGCTGGCTGAGGCGTGTGCCCCTCCTGTTCCCGCTGGGCTCCTTCCCGCCATGCTGGGTGGGGCCTGAGAGGGAGGCTTGCTTGAGCTGGGTTTAAAATGAGCTGCTAAGGCAAGGATTAACCTCATGATGCATTTCAGGTTTCCATCCACGATGTCTGCAAAACACAATCAAAGCCCAAGCGGGATGGTCACCTTCCTGACGCCCAGCAAGAACTCACTAGTCCCACTGGAGGTGCTGGAGTTGAACGCAAGGGGGGAAGTGGCAAAGGACCCCAGAGTGAGTGGCCACCCAAAATGACAGCAATGCATGCGGTCCTTTCTTTACCCTCCATTATGTGTAATTCAACCTGTGCCAAGCCTTGACGTCCTTACAATAAACCTTTCCTGTTTGTATACGTGGCAGCCAACTCAGGCTAAAAAAACACATAAAATCTGGACACAAATTAAGCTGAAATGCACTTTGTGGGGGGAAAGAGAGAAGCCGATCTGGAGCTGTCTATAGCCACATATCCGTTTTAAGGGGTAGTTCACACTCATTAGGACTTCTGAGAACACACCAGAGGATGGGAGCATAATGCTTCAAGTACCTATGTCACTGAAAGGCCACCTGCCAACGCACCTCCGTCTTTACAAGAAGGTATCACAACTAACCTCACGTGGGGGAATGAGCCCCTTTGAATCATTCTGGCTTGAAAATGTAGAAGCCCCAGTGGCGGGGGGGGGGAGCCAAAAGGGTGTGTCTCATTAAAACCAGTCTTTCTGCCACATGGTCAGTAAATTCAAATTTATAAGCAGAGCAAATCTCACACTATTGGACATGTAGTTACACAGCCTAAGTGACCCCCCCCCAATAAAATCACTGCTTGCCACCTACAGGGCAGGATTTGAACTGCACGGCAAAAGCTTCTGTGCCTGGGAAGATGTCTCAGGGCCACTGGGAATATTTCGGCAGAACTTGGAGAAGTTACTTTTTTTGGATTGATACTCCCAGGACCCCCAGCCTGGATGGCCGAGTAATTTTTCCAAGCTCTGCTTCCAGTGAACCAGGCTTACTTTTGTGTGTGTGTGTGTGTGTGTGTGTGTGTGAGAGAGAGAGAGAGAGAGAGAATGCCATACAGTCCCTCCAGATGGTGCAAAGAGCACACACACACACACACACACACACACACACACACACACACACACACACGTTCCTCATGGACTGAGGATGCTCAGCTGATGCCTCTGCCCTGCAGGGCCGTCATTCTCCCGTCCAGGAAAAAGGGCCAGGATCACATGCTTCTTTTTTCCAAACGGAGCCATTATGTCCCTCGCTACCCACACCCAATGCCTCAAGGTACCATTTAAAAAAAAATCCACAGAGGACACTTTGAAACCAACCAAAGAGGGAGAAGGTTGTTCTGCCTTCACGTGATGCTTGTGGCCAACCTGGTGCCAGAGCAAATTTGCCTTTTGTATCTTTTGAATTTGTATTTGATGGCTTTTTTCCCCCACGCCCTGTTCCACTGTGCTCGGCTACGGAAATGCTGACAAACGCGAGACAAAAGATGACTGTTTCTTTCTGCTGCTTGGGATGGGTAAGCAGTTCGGTCTCATTGGTGCAAAAAGAGTTTAGAAAGGCCACTTCCTTTCAGACCAGCTTCCAGAACCTCCCAGTTGGTTGGGATGGCCCCTGGCCGAGACATTTTGGGATTCCAAAAAAACAAGTAACTTTCCTGACTTCTTCTTCAGAGACGCAAGACGGAAAAGCCCTCACCTTTAGCGGACATCTGGTGCATGCGGATCTTTTTGGAGGCCACAAATTGCAAGACTTTCTCCACGTTCTCCTTCATTTCCTGCTGGCTGGCGGGACTGGCCTGCACGCCACTCAGCTTCTCTCCAGCTGCGAAAGAGAAGAAAGCCTTCTAAGGATGGTAGAGGATGAACCTGCCTGACAATAAGTGCCAAGCACAGCAGCGGCTGCAGGTGGAGGAAGATGATTGTTAGCACCACCAGCCACTTCCCCCAAAGGACTGATGGGAAGAAAAAAAGCAGTGGTTTTGCCATCCTCCTGGCATGCTGAAAGGCTCGGATGCCCTGCAATAAAGCAGGCAAGGTGGGGGAGTCTTCCTCATCCACTGTACTAACTGGACTCCGCCCAGGTTCAGCTGCTGGCGTGCTGCTCTGAAACCACTAGCATTATCCAGTGACTTTATTACATGCCCTACCATTTCCTACTCACAAATAAATATTAACCTGGGAGGAAACTCTAGTCTGCAAATCTGGATGAAAACACTAAGAGAGAAAGATTCTCTGTGCCAGAATTTTATAATAATCTTGCCTCTTCTTTTCTCCTGAAAACAAGAAAGGCAATTCAACGAACAAGACGGTTCGGTTTTGATCTGTTTTTAACAAAGTTGATTCAAGTTAAACCAACAACAGTAAATGCTATTAAAAGAAGTATTAAAAACTGTGCATAAAGCTGAGGTCTTCCTGGCAAAATTCCAGGGGACCTCTTCCAGCAGCATCATCTAAATTTCATATATGTTGTGGCATTTATTCCAAAAAAATTTTTTTTAAAAATGATCCAGCTGGAAAATGCAGCCATTGACTGATTGGTAGGGATTCACCTGAGATTATCAAAGTCATGCAGCTTTTTGGGAAACCTCCTTATAGCGAGGAATGGGACCAAGCACTGTGCTACCCAGGCAGCCCCTGTGCACACAACCGGCCACATGGCTACCTAGTAAATAGTCCTATTGAAGGCTTTGTTTGCATTTTGATTTCAACACACACACACACACACAAAATAGGTAAATAATGGCATTGTTTACAAACATCATCAGATTTACTGTTCCCGCACAACCTGATGGGCATAACTCCTCACCTGCAGCTTCTGGAGCAGGAGAAATGACTTGCCCTTTTCCCCTGAAATCCCATTCTGTCTCAAAATATTCAGTTCTACATGCTTAGCACTTCTTATTAAAGGCTCTTATTAAACGCAGATCATATTACTACCACTGCTACTTAAAAGTAAGACTGTGTGTGTGAAGGAAATCCTTTTGTTGTTTCTTTAGAACAGCTCCTGAGCGTGGGAGTCAGCCGCAGAAAGCCTTTTAGCTTTTCCTGGTGAGCCACAAAACCCTCCGAATGAGCAAGGGAGGAATTAGCAAGGAAATGAGACAGGGGTTTGCCCCAGCGACGGACCTGCAACCACCGTCTTCTGAGGATGTAGCATGCTGGCTGGGCATACAGAAATGTGAAACCGCCCTGATGGAAAATTTCCGAAAATTTCCATTTTTCCCAGGAAAACCAAGCAAACACGTTTTTCCCTTGGTTTTTTTCCCCCGGCAGGAAAAATGGCAATTTTCAGGCTTTCTCCATCTCTGGCCCTTGGCTGTTCCAGCCTCCCCACTCCCATTTCTCTTGCCCAGTTCCCAAACACCACGCTCTCAGAGAACTTAAATACATAAAGTCTCATTAAGGTCTTCATGATCTATAGTGTGAATACCATGTCACAGACACATTATCTCTCTATCATTGTAGAAGAACACATTCCACACTCCCCCCCCTTTTTTTTCAATTTTTCTGGGGAAAAACACAACTTTGGAAAAAAATGGAAAAAAAACTCTGTCCCCCCCCCCAATTTTTCCAGTTTTTTCCAAGGCCTTCCCATCTCTACCAAATACCACGTAAGGGTGTGTCCTTAGCACTCCACATGCTGAGCAGCTGCTCAGCCTGCTGTTCCGTCTGAGCACCGAGAACCACTTTCAAACAGAAGTGTCTTGGGCAGCTGAATTCTGAACGGCCACCTCTGGAACGGAGGTCCACCCACGGACCGTCTCCTGCCCTGCGCACCTCTGCTGGGCATCCCATGGAAGCAATACTAAAACGTTTGCAAGGAGCAGCACCTGCTCCCCCCCCCCAATACTGACCTACAATCTCGATGAGAGAAGCCAGGACGACCCCGTCTCGGAGATCCTGCCTCAGGTCCTGCACTGGCTTAACCGACGGCTTCTTCTTGAGCTGGGCATTCACCCAGGCCACATAAGCCTGCAGTTGTTGCTGGGGGAAAGGGAACCAGAAGACACACCGTTACCAGATGTTTGCAGACTTCAGCCCTAATCTGGCACTAGCAGCAGGTGAGTGGGAACTGAATGCAGGAGGACACCTGCTCTAGAGACGTTTACGCTCAGGTACGGCCACGCGCATGCAACAGGGATCAAGGGGAAAACCACACAAAGGTGAGAAGAGGTGCCGGAGAAGGTGGCTGCAGCTGACGTTGCTTTCGGAGACCGTGGAAGGGAACACTAGTTTTTAAATGATGAAGGCATTGTCACTCATGGCGCAGACACACAGGCTCAAACACACGGTGGTTGTTCCACTCTTTTGTCCCTAGATAGAAAATCAGAAGCTGCGCAAGAAAAATCACAAGGCCCGCAAAGAGAGCCAACGGTGAGACAGATCCCTCATTTGTACCCAGCCTGTGGTTACCGGGTGGCAAAGCATCAGCAGTTGGGTTCCACAATGAGTGTGGTCTTCATTTTTAGCCTAAACAGATGGTCGCAACTCCTCATCTGCAGCTTATGTAGCAGGGATGGTTGAAACGTAATCCCCCCCCCAACTGCCTCTTTAAGCATTACCTGCTCCTTTTCAACCCTATGGACGTGTTACAATCTTCTTCAAACATCCTGTTTCACACCCCCATCCCACTAGGATGAGGTACAGGAGATGGTGACATTGAGAGTTTTGACCCTCCTCACTTTTAGATGACGGACAAAGAGCGCTTTTGGGTTGCCCTGCTAACTAAGGTTTGTTCGAGGCATTTTTGGAAAATAGCATTTTATGTATTGCATGCATTCTTTCCAGTGTTTAGGTAGCCCATGCTCTGGGTATTTCTAGACAAAATGCAAAGACTACAGATGCACGCACCTCTCAGAAATCAGTGTTAACACTGAAGAACATGATTGCCCCCCCTTCACCACAGCAGGCCATGCAGGAACTCCAGGGACCAACAAGAGCGGCTCCATTCAGGCCACAGAATCAAGTTTACCCCTTTTATGGGATTGTTTCCCCCTCTGCTAAGCTCCCCATTATTCTACCGACAGGGCATGTTTTAAGCCCGGCGTCTGCATCCTCTCGGCCATGTCAGCCACAGGACATTCTCCCACGCAGCCGGTCCGCCCCCCCAAGTCACATTCTGATCACGCTTCCCGCTTCTAATCATCCTGACAAGGGAAATCCAACTTCAGTCCTGGGGCAATGTGAGCAAGGCCTGCCTCGCTCAGAAAGCTGGCCCACCATCGGGGGCTGCTGAGCAAGCTTTGCTCAGCAAAAAAATAGGAGGAAGATGTAGGCAGCAACAATACAATGCAGTGCACTGCAGAAAATGCAGAAAATGGACGAGTAGGACCATACACAAGAGGATAGCTCTGAGCTGGACTCTAACACACAATGGGGTAGGGCATAGGCAGCTGCCTTTGGTGTTAGCCATGGAGAGAATATTACACCCCTATTAAGCTTCAGGCATCCCTCTTATCCTCTTGATCCAGGTTCTCTAAATGCCTGATCCAAAGGTGCAGCAGAACACTTCCTATAGGAGCACCCCATTCAACTGTAATGTCTTCGTGTAAGGAAACTCTGCTTCAAACTCTTGCTGGAGATTACACCTGCGTCCTTTAAAAGCAGAGCTTTCTCTGGAGGGTGCAGAATATCTCTCCCCCCCTCCCCAATTACATCACACAGCCTACAGAAGCCTTAAGAAAATCGGCTAGCCCATTCTTTTTTCTTTTTTACCAGAATCAAGGAAACGAGTCAACACTAACTCCTATGCTTCACAGTTGTAGATTTAAATCATGTTTTAGAACTATGCTCACTATTAGTTTTATTATGGGTGGAAACGGCATTTTTCCTGGAAATGATCTTATTTTGCATCTTGCATTAAGAACTCCTGGGGCAGCAGGACAACCTAAAGATAATTTTAAAAGAGACTAACCGAGGGTGAAGCCAATCCAGGCGTACGTCTAATGCTGTGACCCAAAGACCACTTCCTGAGAAAACCCAGCCAGTGGGGGTCCAAACTAATTCAGAGTTGGAATAGACCTACTGCGATCAAGGAGACTTCTATGAACAACCAGCCTGAGCCCTGCTGACCTCAAAGAGGGTTTCCTCTGAGGGTCTTCTTCCATGAAACCCTATTGACTTCAAAGGGTGACACTCCAATCAATCATCTCTTAGCAGAAAGCCTGATCATTGGGTCATTGCTTTCAATGGGTCATTTCAGAGCACTTTGTCCAATCTACTACACTGGGGACAGAAATCTGTGTTTCATTTTCTTGGGCATCTCTCTCTGTCACACCCTTTGCAAATTTCTACTTTAATAGTTCCTTTTGAAGGCAGACAGTTTCCCTTGTCACTGTCAAACTGTGATGCCAGTCTCACAAGGAGCTACTCCAGTTGTTACAGACTCTCATTTAATTAGGAACCTGGGTAATTGCTCCCCTTCAGAATGTAAGAGTCCCCACCACCACCATAGCATTTTGAGGCTTATGATACAGCCATAAAATTCTCAGCACTTGTGATTCTCTTGCAAGACTCCGCAGAGATTTCGGTTCTTAGAAAAGGAAAAATCCCCTGTTCCTAGAAGTAGAGAGATTAGCAGGCGACAGAGGTAAGAAGAGGCTAACATCTATTCAGTATAAAACAACACCGTAGCGTTAAATTGTACAGACATAAGAATACTGCAACGCCATTGGACCGCTCTCAAGATTCCTTAATTTTTAAAATGGAAAGCACCTTGTACGAGTACAGTCGCTTCTTTACATGCCTGTGCGTCTGGATTAAACCATGAGAATGTTAAGAAACCATAAAGCATTTACACCAGAATCCTTAATCGAGGGACAGAATACAAGGCCAGCCTGCAGCTTCATTTCAATAAATACAGCTTGCATTTGCCAAAATCCATGCCTGCATCCTGCAAGAAATTGTATTTTTCTCGGTCTCGGCATAAGAAGAGAGAACGCCCACATTCCTTAATTCTCTTTGTATGTACAGCTTGGATGGATCACAGTCAGCTGTTTTAAGTGGCGGATCTCATGTCTCACATGAAAGCCAGATGACTTTCCACCTTCAGTGTTTTGCAGTAGTCAGCAAGGTTCTGTGTATACAAAATATGTGCTTTCCATTTGTTACCTTAATCACGACGATACACCTGTCAGGCAGCAAATGAGGCCCAAACTGTGTCTTTTTCTATCTAGCATTTCTCTGTTAATGTAAACCTGGCCCATTCCTTATTTCTTCTTACAGATCATTTGCAACTTGCTCACATTATTGCCTTTCTTTTTAATTAAAAGTTTGTTTTGTACATTAAACATGAGATGAGAAATTCCACTCGGGGATCAGAACTAACCAAAAAGGATAAAAAGGAAAAAGAGAAGGGAAAAAAAGAGGACACCGGTCATAGTCCCCTGGGAATTATTAGCCAAGAGAAGTAATGTTATATATGATATCTAGACACAACGGCAGGGCATGAAGAAAGAAAGCCGAGCATTACCTTCACTTCTATTCTCATCATTTCTGTCTCCCTAGGGAAGATTTCTATGCAGGATTAATTAGTAGCTTTCATCTTTAAAGTCTAAAAATTTACCCGCTGTTCTTTTATTTGTGGATAAATGAATTCCCCTGAAGACCTTACATGTGCGGCTGGTTATGAGGACTCGGCCGTCTCCTTAAGCAAACAGATTGGCTGTATGTTGCCAATTACGTTAAGAGAATCTCCATCCAGGCAATGCTTTTCTGCCAGGCTTTTACTGATGTAAGAGCTTCTAGTTTTCACTTCCTTTCTACCTCTACAACTACTACTTCCTGTACCCCGCTGCATCCTTTACACATGCATTCGGCCTTTCACCTGCTCCCTATAGCACACATGGCTGAAATCCTGTTGCGCTCAGCGCAATTATGCCTGCAGCAGTTGATAGAGAGTTCCCTCTAGGGCGGTCCTGCATATCTGATTGCACAAATTCAATGTCTAACTGATTGCACAAATCAGTTTTTGCAACTGCATCCTGGATTTGATTTCTGCCTTGGTGGAAAATCTGCAATGGTTCTAGCAACTTCAAGAGATGTAGGCACAGCTAGCTATACAACAGGACGCAGACCACTGTGCTCTCAAAATGATAATTGTGTTCAAAAATGAACGAAATTGTGCAGAGGCGAAGACAAGAATTCCCACACACACACACCTGTCTTTTCTGACAGCCCTTCTTTATCTAGGTGCGCCTCTCCAGGTATTTGTACCTGCAGGTGGAAGATGCCCTGGATTTGAACTTTTATTATTTTGCCCTTCTGTAGGTTCTGCACTCGCCCACTCCAGACCACCTTTCTCTATAACAGGCAGAAGCAGGCATTATAGATACAGAATCCCATCATTAGGTTTGAAAGCAACTCAGTTTTTGGGCGGGGAATGTGACTGGTGTATTCTTTCTCATTTGAGAACACCTGACTTCAAAGGAATTCCAAACCTAAGTCCCAAAGACCATCTTCAAATCAAAGCAAACTCATTTGCAAAATCCAGAAGCTGAGAGATGATCCTTTGGCAACCATTGTAGGCAATTAGCCCTTACGGATTTTCTAATGGCTGGCTTATCTGCTTCCACCTAAAGAGGTAACCTTGCAAAGGAGCAGGATCGTCAGACAGCACTGCTACTGTCATCATCCTCACCTTGTGCAATGAAAGCCCCTCCGGGCAGCGACCACATCTCTAATCCCTCCCACACAACACGCAACACACAGCTTCACAACAAATATATATCGTACAATAACGCAGCTAATAAAAAAGATAAAAATCAGCTCCGGATGTGTACAAAGAGAAGCGCACAGAGCAACATGCTGGAAGATGCTAACCCAGGACAACAGCCGGTTTAAAGATTTAGCCACTTACTCCACCCCCCGGTGTCCTTCCGGCCGAACACAAGGCTCCCCTGGGACCCAATAGATGGGCTCTTCTCTGGCTCCTTATCGGCATTTCCAAACAGCACGCCATGGGAGATCTCCCTAAAGCTTCTTGC